ATATAAGTAGAGCCAAATAACATGTGTTTTTTATTTAGCATAATGTTTTTATTTAGCATCCATATGGTACCATCCATTAGTAATTAATTCTTTTTATTACTGAATAATATTTCATTGTATGGCTTGACTATATTTTACTTAGCCAGTCATCATTTGGTAGACATTTAACTTGTTTCTATTTTGGCTCTTAGAAAATACAAACATTCAAGAACAACTTTTTATTTATCATGGAGATATGTATCTAGGAATAGAATTGCTGAGTTAAGTGGTAACTCTTATGTTTAACTTTATGAGAAACTTCCATCTTGTTTTTGTAGTGACTGCACCATTTTACATTCCCACCAGTGATGTATTAAAATTTCAGTCTCTCCATACCCTTGTCAATATTTGTTATTGTTTGTCTCACCCTTATTAAAACTTACTGCAGCCATCCTGGTAGATGTAAAGTAGTATCTCATCATACAATTGGTTTGCATTTCCCTGGTGACTAGTGATATTGAACATCTTTTCATGTTCTTTGTTGGCCATTTGTATATCTGTAATGGAAAATTATTCAGATCACTTGCCAGTTTTTGTGTTGTGCTTTTATTATTGATTTGCAAGAGAGTTTTAAAAATGTATTCTAGATTCAAGTCTCCTGTCTAATATATGATTCTCAAATATACTTTTTAATTCTGTGAGAAGTAGTATTTTTATTTTCTTCCTTTTGTCTTTTGGTGAACAAAAGTTTTTAATTTTAATAAAGACCCATTTATCTATTTTTGTTGTTGCTGTGTATGCTTTGGATGTCACGTCTCAGACACCACTGCCAAAGTGGAGGTCAACATAATCTTAAGTGAAATAAATCAGACACACAAACTTAAATATCACATGGTTTCTCTTATATGAGAAATCCAAAATATAAAGAGCAAAATAAAAGATAGATAATATGAAATAGGGAGATAGATCTTTTGCAAATGAGAAAAGGACCAAGACATGGAGAGAGGGAAGAGGGAAAAAAAAGGATGCAAAAAATGATTAAAATGTGTTACATACATGCACCAACTCCCCATAAATAATGTAACCATTATGCACTGAAAATATGTACTTTTTAAAAATAAAAATTAGAAAAAAATTTAAATTGAAGATCAAATTCCTGTGTTTTCTTCTAAGACTTTTATAATTTTTGCTCTTACATTTAGGCCTTTGGTCCACTTTCAGTTAATTTTTGTATTGTGTAAAGTAACTGGTCTCACTTTATTCTTTCGTATATGGATATCTTGTAGTTCCAGGACCATTTGTTGAAAAGACTTTTATTATCCTGATGAATCATTTTGACAAGCTTGACCATAAATATATGAGTTTATTTCTGGATTTTTCAGGTCTGTTCCACTGATCTTTGTGTCTATCTTTGTTCCAATACCACACTATCTTAATTCATTATGCTTTATAGAAAGCTTTGAAATCAGGAAGTATGATTCCTCTCACTTTGTTCCTTTCCAAGATTGTTTTGGTTATTCTGGATACTTGAGTTGCTATATGAATTTTAGAATCAACAATCTACAAAAAAACAAGTTGGGATTCCAAAAAGATTGCAAATCTGTAGATCAAATTGTGGAGCATTACCATCCTACCAATATTGTCTTCAAGTCCTTAAACATGAAATGTCTTCCCATTTACTGTATTTAGGTCTTCTTTAATGTCTTTTAACAATGTTTTGTTGTTTTCAGAGTACAAGTTTTACAATTTTTTCTAATAAATTTATTCTTTTGATACTACTGTATCTTAATTTTCTTTTTAAACTTTTATTAGTACATGCTTGACTACATAATGATTACATTCATCACAGGGAGTTGTTGGTTCATGCATAGTACACACATCTGACTTTTTTACTTACTTTTCCCCTCTCCTCTATCTCTTGGTCCCCTTCTTACTTGCAAAAGATCTATTGCCATGTTTCATATTATCTATCTTTTATCTTGCTCTTTATGTGTATTTTTGGGTTTCTCATATAAGATAAACTATGTAGTATTTTAAAATTAATTTTATTGGTATACTTTTACATACATAATGATCACATTCTTCTTAGGGGATTTGTACCTGTACATAATATATCTTAATTATTTTTTCCCATTCCTTTCCTTTCTCTTTGATTCTTCTTCCACTCTCCATTTCCAAAACTTTGTTTCTATTGTTTTCCTTCTGTTCTTATTTATTTTTATATCACTATTCCCTCCCTCCCCCCTGTTCTCCTTCCCATTTGAACATTTTCTTCCTACTTCCCAAAATCTCTCCTCCATTGTGGTCTTTATTTACCCTTTGGGTTTTTAACACAAGAGAAACGATGTGAAGCTTATGTTATCTCCTACGTCTCATTTAACATTGTGGTCTCAAAGTGCATCCATTTTCCTACAAATGTCTCAAGTTTATCCTTCTTTATAGTTGGGTAGTACTCCATTATGTATCAATACCACAGTTTCTTTATCCACTCATCTGTTCATGGACATATGGGTTGCTTCCAAAATTTAGCTATTATGCATGATACTGCTGTAAACATGGGTATGCATGTATCACTGTAACATGATGTCTTTAACTCATTAAGGAAGATACCTAGAAGTGGAATAGCTTGGTTGAATGGAATTTCTATTTTTATTTTTTTTTAAGATTCTCCATACTAATTTCCATAATGACTGTACTAGTTTACATTCCCACCAATGTAGAAGTGTTCTTTTTTCCCTGAAGCCTCTCCAGAATTTGTTGTTATTTGAGTTCTTGAATATAGCCAGTTCTTTCTGGAGTAAGGTGGAATCTCTGTGTTGTTTTAATTTGCATTTCTCTAATATTCAGAGATATTGAAATTTTTTATGTATTTACTGGCCATTTGTATTTTTTTCTCCTGAAAAAGGTCTATTCATTTCAGTTGCCCATTTCTTATTTGGTCTTTTTTGGGGGAGGGTCTAATTTTTTTGACTTTTTTATATATTCTAGATATTAGTCTTCTACAAGATGTAGCTGGCAAAAAGTTTTTCCCGTTCTGTAGGTTGTCTCTTCACTCTAATGATTGTTTCCTTTGCTGTGCAGAAGCATTTTAATTTGGTGTGATCTCATTTGTTGATTCTTTATGTTATTTCTTTTATAATTGGAGTTCCATTTAGAAAGTCTTAGCCCATACCTATGACTTCAAGAATGTTAACATATTTTAATCTTCCAGCAGATTAACTGTTTCTGATTTAATATTCCTTGATCCACTTTGATCTTAGTACTACCTGATGAGAAATATGGGTCTAGATTCAATCTTCTGAATGTGGATAGCCAGTTTTCCCAGAAGCATTTATTAAAGAGGTTATTTTCCCTCCCATGTATGTTTTTGGTCCCTTTGTCAAAGATCAAATACCTGAATGCATCTGGGGTTGTTTCTCTATTGTTCCATTGATCCACATGTCTAGTTTTATGCTAGAACCATGCTGTTTTTATCCCTGTAGCTTTGTAAAATGCCTTCTGCTTTTTACAATTACAATTGTAATTATGCATAATACCTGTTTTCAAATGTATTTGGATTCTGCTATGGGAATGAAGAAATATAATTTAAATATATTACAAGATCAACAGTAGCTTTCTTTTATCTGGACAGAAGTGACTAAAAGTGTAATTAGGGGCCAGGGATTTAGCTCAGTGGTTTGGCTGCCTGCCTCACAAGCGCAAGGACCCAAGTTCGATCCCCAGTACCAAAAAAAATAAAATAAAAGTGTAATTAAATGCATTCATGTGGCAGGGAGTGTCTATAACAACTTTTAATCTAAACAATTCTCCTGGTAGGTTATAATTTCCATGAAGGCAAAGGTCTTGATTTTTCTGTATTTGTCTGTACCTTGTTCATTGTTTGTGAATAAATAAATATTCACATTGTTAGAAACCATTATTCTGGATAACAGTGGGCATTTTGTTACTGGCTCAATTGTGAGAATATTAGCAAAAACAAAATAGATGGCATTAATTTAAGAGCTAGGTTTCAAGAGTCTCAATCTTTCAGTGCCCTTAAACTATCCAGAGAACACTTCATGGGTTTGAGTGGCTAGCTGATAATGTAGGAAATTGGAAGCCAGAGTTTTCCACCTCTTCTGAACATAAGAACAAACAAGCACACAGCACATGCTATATGGTCACACAGGAAAACTTGCCACCATTAAGGCTGCCTTGCAGATGGGGCTCCCCATGATCCATGATCGAGCTCAAGTACACTGCACATAGGTACACCCAAGCACACACATACAGCTGCCTCTCACTCAACACAAGAAACACATACTAATTAGTCTTGTTTTCAGTAATGTATAGAAACTATTTAAGTGAGCTCTCAGTAATCTTCTGATAAAAGCAGAAAGTTCTTCACTGGTGGTAATATTTGCACTGTGCTTTGTAAATGTTGGAAACTGACAGTTTGCCATTTCAGTTTGCTTCAAGCTTCATATACTTGTATAAATAAAACTTTTACTGCTGCAGGGGAAAGTCATGCAACTTTCTTTGTAGATGGAGTTGGCAGGTTTTTAGAGCAAAGTGTTTACTATGAAGTCATGAAAAAGAATCACTGATAGCTATTGGAAGAAAAGAGAGAAGAGACAGTGAGCTGGATGGTGGTCTTACTAACAAGTGTTTGTATAGGAAAGAAATTGGCAGTCTCCAGACCCCAGCCCTTTTCTAGGTGTGTGATGCTGACAATTGAGGCAGAGAGTAAGACTCAGCTCACTTCACCCTCCTTTGGGAAAACAGATCATAGTATATGTCATTTGACAGTGGTTTGTCTGGTGTTACAGCACATAGTTATATAGAATAAATAAATACATTAACTTCGTTTAGGATATTATCCCCCAAGCTTCTCAACCCTCAAGAAAGTATGTTCACCTCCTTCCAGAAAAGAGACCAGACACCTCTGCTACATGACCTTGTACAGGCCTTGAACTCAGCATGTCCATAAGACAAATTCAGATTGGCTGGTTCTCTAACTTCCTTTACTTTTGTCACTACAGCTTCTTCAGGAAGATAAAATGGAGAAGCTTGAGGAGATTGTTGAGAAGTACCCTTGTGCCTTTCCTTGCTGGGTTGGGCCCTTTCAGGCATTCTTCTTTATCTATGACCCAGACTATGCAAAGACGTTTCTGAACAGAACAGGTAAGAAAAGGGACAAATGACAGGGACCTACTTCTCCTAGGAGTGAGATTCACATGACTCACAGGCAGACTCTGAAGCTAAGATTAGTACTGGGCCTTTAAGAGATCTGGGGGTGAGAGAGGAGACAGGTCCCCCTCCCCCAGCTTGAAGGGATTCCAATTTCCTGTTCCAGGGCTCTTTGATGCCTAACTGGTATTATCAGACTGGCCAGGGGCTTATTTTGCCTCTTGGTTTTGTGATTTCATGCCAGCCACTTTCCACCTTACCTTATTTTGAATATAGTCTCTAGGGTAAATCAAGCAGCTCTGCCTCTGCTGGCTCAATATGCAATCCCGAATACTGGAGTGCTCTTTTTCCAGTCCAGCCTTTTGACTATTTGTGTTTTCTCTTTCTGCATGTTTCTCAACTATGTTTCTTTTGGGGGCATGAGTCATCTACCTCCCCATGAAATCCTTTTGCAAGACCTCCACAATCTTATACAACAAAACTAAAATGGCCAATTTTTGCTCTGTTAATTTTGTTTTTTAAAAAAAGTCTTGTATTCTCATCTTTTTTTATGCTTCACATTTCTCAACCTTAATAAATCCTATAAACAGCCCTTTCCTGGAAGGTCTCCAAGTTTCTAGCCCCTACTCTGATTTGTCTCAAGTTCACCTGTTAAGGACAAGAGCTGTAAAACACTTCCATGTTAGAGTCACAAGAACCAGCAGGCATTTATACATCACTTTGTGGTGTCTGTCAGACCTGCTTTACCAGTCAGTTTACATTCAAAAAAAGGATATATGCTGTCCCAACTCCTGGTCTAGAAATGTGGCAACCCTCAGGCAATCTTTTTCTATAGAGGAAGTATAAACAAGGGGAAAATCTGGGTGTGCTGTTCTTTGATATTGACCTAAGACTTGTGGTACACCCTGGCCTCTGAGGGCTACAGGAAGTGACCAACAGCTTCCTTTTGCTCGCTATTTGTGGCAAATCCTGGCAAATGAAGAAACCTTTCCCTGACTTTAACTGGTAATGAGTGCTCTATCTAATACTGTTTTTTGTTTTCTCTGCTTGACTCTGCAGACCCCAAGTCCCAGTACCCATACAAGTTCATGACTCCATGTCTTGGTACGTATGTGCCAGTGAGATGTGTAAGACTCTCTGGTTCCTACTCCCCTTCCAATAAACAGCATTCAAAAGAGACTCAAATTTATCCTTCTTTATGCCAGAGTAGTACTCCATTATGTATAAATATTTTCTATATCTAATCATCAATTGATGGATATATAGGCTGTTTCCAAGATTTAGTTATAATGAGTTGTACTACTATTCATTTATAGGAAAATGGATGCACTTTGAGTCCATAATGTTCAGTGGAATAAATCGGACACACAAGCTTAAGTATTACATAACTTTTTTTTAAATGTGAGAAACCTTAAATATAAATAAATTTAAAAACAAAACAAATGTCAGTCATGGTGGTGCACACCTCTAATCCCAGCACTAGGGAGGCAGGAGCAGGAGGATCGCTGCAAGTTCAAGGCCAGCCTGGGATACATAGTGAGTTCAAGGCCAGCCTGAACTATAAAGCAAGACCCTGTCTCAAAAAAAACCAAAAAAAATAAAAAATAAATTTTAAAAAGATAGGCAGTAGGGAACGAGAGAGATTTTCTGCAGAAGGAAAGGGGATCTAGAGATACAGGAAAGAGGGAGAGTAGAATAAAGATATGTTGAGTACATTTATCTACTACCTACGATAAACGTAAACATTATGTACTGCAAACATGTACTAATAAGAAATCACTTAAAAACACAAAATTTCAAAACATTCTTTAAAGTAGTAAAAGAGACTCAAACTTGAACTCAAAACATTAAGAATAAGGTAGATCTCTAATGAGAGTTATCTACTGCGAGGTAAAATAGGAGCTTAGAGGTCAACGCAGCACTTTCTGAAAAGCCTCCTCATTCATTTCTCTCCCAGTTTCATTTTAAAGGTAACATATGTATGAATCCATCCTTTCTCTTTCTTTGTAATCATAGCTTTTCCATCCCTATTCTGTTCCTATCCTTTCATCTCTCTTACTGAATTTTTTTCCTTTCTAGTTGTAGTTTTCTGACTGCCATATGCAAATTAGTGAAATTGTGCTCTGAAGTACAGTTTGACAATGCTCTCTGAGCAGGTGAATTAAGGTCTTTAGTCATATAGTTGGTATTTATGTTAAAGCAGAAAAGGATTAAATGAAAGGCTTTGGATTCAGAGCCAGTTAGATTGAATCCTGTCTACCACCCCAATAGACTAGTTGAATGTGATTGTAGGGAAGTAATTTAATTCCCCTGCATCTTAGTTTCTTTTTCTCTGAAAATGAAGTGAGAGTCGGGGTTGTGGGTGCTGTGAGGATTAAATGAAACACATATTCTTAGCATTTAACATAGTGGCTGGCATTGTACCAGTGCCAGCCCGTCCATCATGAGCCTGGCATATTGGTGTCATTCAAACTTTAAAGTCGTTTTGAAGACAGATCCTTAATGACCACTCTAAAAATGGAAGACTGTGATATATTACCCTTGGGAAATGTTTCCATTTTGTGCCATTCACAGACCAGGTCTCAAGGAGGGGCTCTCTGGGTAGAGAATGATATCCTTGTCTAGTTCCTGATGAATTTGTGTTCACAGTATAATTTATGGATTGGCTTGCAGTGGAAAGGAGAGGAAGATTTGTCACATTTCTACCATGAGCTAGAGAAGGACTCAATTTGGTATCTTATGCATTTTCGTTTAATCCACACAAAACAATGGAGTAGGAATGTATTATACTCCATTGTTGAAAAAACTAAGCTCAGGAAGGTTAAGTAACTTCCTTAATTACTACACAGGTATTAGCTGGTCATTTTGGGATTAGCACTTTCAGACTTTCAAATTCTTTTTCACAATGTTAAAAACATCCATCATAGATGCAAGCATTAAAACTCAACACCATCTGAATCTATGGCCACCACTTTGATATTCCATTCCTCCATGAACACCTGTGGGTCATGGTCACTCCGTGCTATGTGTCTCTTCCCTCCTTTTCTAATAAAATGGCATGAGGTTCTGTGTCTTTGTCTCTGAAGGAAAAGGTCTCCTGAATCTAGATGGGCCCAAGTGGTTCCAGCATCGTCGCCTACTAACTCCTGGATTACATTGTGATACCCTGAAAACATATGTCGAGGTGATGGCCCATTCTGTGAACACAATGCTGGTAAGTGAAGTGGTGAAGTGGAGCTCTGGCGCACTATAAAATGCTTCCAACAGGGAGTGAATTTGATGTATATTTAGTGGATAGTGAAAAGCAAAAGTTGATTTCTAGAAAGAACATACAGTTACCTGTTGAGCAATATGTAAGCCTTTGCTGTGTTCTTTGGGTGATTAAAAAGAATAAGAAGCTCTGGTCCTCTGCCTTAGATATAATCTAAGAGAGTATGGCAATTTACCAGATTTCAAGCGGTGATATTCAAGCAATAAGTGCTGTAAGTGACAGATACGGAAGCCAAGAGCAGCTATAGTAGTTTCAGATTCCAGAGGAATCTCAGATTTACCATGAAATATAAGATAGGCATAAATGCATATGTAAAATGGATAAAGAATTCTAGGAAGAGGAACTGTGCATGACCAAAAGTTTGGAGGTTGGAAGGGATTTGTCCAATAGCCATAAAGGACTGAGCAAAGAATAAGTGTCTCTGTTAAAGTCGCAGATGTGTTTCCTCTTATAGGAGGGGGAGGATCATCAGGAAGTCACCTGCACCTTCCAAAGGGACAGAAGGGTGCTGCAGAACAGTCCTGTGGGCAGTCTCTGATTTAGAAATGAATTCTTTTCCGAAGCTTCGCCTTTACAGCAGTTTTAATTTTAAAATTGTATTTCTTATAAAATCAGACAAAAAACATTAGTACAGTTTCATCATAAATTCTTTCCAAGGAATTATTGTTACCAGCTTATTAGCTGGCTTCTTGACCAAGCTCAAAAAAGTGGATTTAACCTGAAGCCTGTTGGGTTTATGCTGAAAACATCAATGTGAGTTCTTGAAGAAGAGACCCAGAGATCACCAGGCACAGGCTGAAAAGTATTCTCTCCAATTCTGGTGCTCCTTAGCATTCAGCGCAATTTCAAATCTGCCAGTGGCTATTTCTGAGTTGACCTCCATGTCTAGGAGCCACTTCTGTCCTCCTAACTTCTCAGTCCCACGTTACCCTGAGTTCCTCTCATACTTTCTCTCTTCACTGAATTGTTCCAGAATGCCTCCCACTTTGAGGCCTGCCCTTCTTCTCACTTCCTCTGAACTCACCATTTGTATTCCTCGGTCTGCTGTGTACATTTGTTGAAATTTCACACTGGGACCCATCAATATGTACAACTGGATATACGTTAATCAAAAATAAATTTTTTAAAAGTACCTAATTCAGCAAGATACCTAACTAAACAACTGGCATTTGGGTAAAAACATTTCAAGTTCTCTATGTCTTTTTTTAAGTCTGCAAGACTTCAGGACCTAGCTTAGTGCTCAACAAATGTAGGTTGAACTGAACTTAAATATTTCAATTGATTTGCAACTTTATACAAAGAATGCTTATGGTAACAAATATATTTATCCCTAGAAACTTTATACCAGTTTAGAAAAGTCAAGCAAAGCTTTTTGGGTGGTGTGAGTGGGTCTCTTTCTGTGGAGAAGTTGGGTGGCCACGGGGTACGTTTGGTTAGGAGCCACTAAAGCAACTCCCCTTCCCAGCTTCACTCTGTCCCAAATTTCTGAACCTAAAATATTTTTGAAAATGTTCCAAGTCTATTTTAAGTGTAGTTACTTACGGTGGCTGAGTGTAGTGGCAGAGTATAATTACACCAAAAGTAGCATTAAGAATCAACAAATGAGGTCATATTAAATTAAAAAGCTTCTGCACAGCAAAGAAAACAGCCAACAGAGTGAAGAGACAACCTACAGAATGAGGAAAAAAATGTTGCCAGCTATTCCTCAGAGGACTAACATCTACATATTGTAAAGGTACAAACTCCCAATGATGAATGTCATCATATTGTATAACTAAAGTGTACCAATAAACTTAATAAATAGAATGTACAAAGAACTCTAAAACCTTAGACCTCTCAAATAAAAGACCCAAGTAAAAAGTGGGCAACAGAAATGAATAGACACTTCATAGAAGACATACAAATGGCCGATAAATGCTTGAAAAAATATTACACATCTCTGGACATTAGAGAAATGCAAATTAAAACAATACTGAAATCCTATCTTACTCCCAAAAGAATGGCCATCATCAACAAATCAATAATAATAAATTCTGGGGAGGCTACAGGAAAAAGGAACCCTTTCACACGGTTGGTGGCAGTATAAACTACTGCAACTGTTATGCATATCTGTATGAAGAGTCCTCAAAAAACTAAAACCTGAAATTCCATTTGACCCAACTATTCTCCTTCTAGGTGTCTTCCCAAAAGAGTTAAAGACTTCACATTACAGGAATACACACCTACCCATGTTTATAGCAACATAATTCACAATGACTAAATCTTGGAAGGAGCCTATATGTTCATCAACAGATGACTGGATAAAGAAAATGTGGTACTTATACACAATAGAGTACTATTCTACCATAAAAAAAATAAACTTGGGTTATTTGAGGGAAAATGGATGTACCTTGAGACCATAATATTGAGTAAAATAAATCAGATACACGGTTTAAATATCACATGGGTTTTCATATATGAGAAACAAAAAAATATAAATAAAAAACAAGATAAAAGACAGATAATAACAAATAAAGAGACAGTTCTTTTGCAAATGGGAAAGAGATCAAGAGATGGAGAGAGGGGCCAGGGATGGAGCTCAGTGGTTCGTTCCGCTGCCTGCCTCAAAAGCGCGAGGTCCTGAGTTCGATCCCCAGTACCAAAGAAAAAGAAAAAGAGAGAGAGAGATGGAGAGAGGAGAAAAGAGAGGGCCAAGGGATAAAAAAACAAAATGAGATGCATTATGTACGCGGACCAACACCCCATGAGAATTGTGATTATTATGTACTGCAAATGTATATGATAAAAAATAAAAGAGAAAGAGAGTAATGATAGGGTATCCAACAGGGTGGTTGAAGGTGGAGGAAGCCCTGAGGAAATCCCTGGTAACTATAGGGCTTGTACAGAAACGGTTGGTTTTCTGGAACTCTGGTCTGTTTGGAAACAGAGTGATGATAATACTCAAAAGACCATTTACCAGAAATGCAGTTTGCTCTGTGCTCGTCCTCACTCAGCTGGGTGCATGTTTCCCTGCTTTGTGCCCAAAGTGAGCACATGGTTCATTCACTCTCTGACCTGTAATTCTTGCGGGGTCAGGGCTGTATCCCTTAGATCCTAAGGAAAGTGTCAGGGAAGAGCATGCATACAAGGGCAGTTTCATAATGATACTGATGTTGATCTTGCCCTCTCCTGCCAGGGTAAGTGGGAGAAGATCTGTGGCACTCAGGACACAACCGTGGAGGTTTTCGAGTTCATCAGCTTGATGGCCCTGGACATCATAATGCAATGTGCATTCAGCCAGGAGACCAACTGCCAGATAAATGGGTCAGTCACAAGAAAGCAAAACCAAAACATTGTTCACAATTCCTAGTTAATTATTAACACATTGTCCCAACTTGACTTTCTAGCACCTATGATCCTTATGTGAAAGCAACATCTGAACTCAGCAAAATCATATTTTATCGCTTCTACAACTTCTGGCACCACCATGATGTAATTTTTAAATTCAGCCCTAAGGGCCACCATTTCCAAGAGTTAAGCAAAGTGCTGCATCAATACACAGGTAAATACATGAGTGTTTTTCAGGTTTGGATTGCTCAAGGCCCTACCCTGTGATGATTGTATTATATCTGTTTAGAGGCATAGCCTCACTATGAACAGAAGTATTCTTGTCCTGAATGGAACTTTTATATGGACATTGCTCAAATGAAATACAACTTCAATCCTTGTCAGATATCTTTAACTGGATATTTATTGAAATTTGTCATTCTGTTCCAAGTTTTCCAAGCATAGAGTAGATCCTTTATGACTTATAAATTTTCCCTAAATCCAGCAAGTTTTCTTGAATTACGGTTTTAAATATTAGTTGCATTCCATATTTGTGCTTACTTTTTCATCTCAGACCCTTCAGCTATACATTCTTTGGTCTGTATTCCCTTTTGTTTGATAACTTCTATAAAGATAAGACCTTAGGCTGAAAAAAAGTGATTGATCGCTTGCATCTAAATTTGAAATCATCTTAATTATATCACTTACTTACTGATATAAACTATGGTTTTGGTCTGTTGTGTTTGTCTTTGGAATTTTGATCAAAAATTGTACATTTGATGGAAAATAAACCATTCTGTGAAAATTAAATCTATTTAGATGTAATGCACCCACTCTGGTCTCTGAAGAGGAGTAAGATTTGAACCTATTCACGTCTCTTGACTGGTTTTATAACTTATTTGACTTTATTGTCATTCTGCTAATGTGGAAGTATTATTCTACACAGAAAAGGTAATCCAGGACAGAAAGAAATCCCTCAAGGCTGGGATAAAACAGGATAACACTCAGAAGAAATATCAGGATTTTCTGGACATTGTCCTTGGTGCCCAGGTAAATCTTCCAAATATCTCAGCCTTCTCAACTGGCTATTTATGAAAGTGAACAGGTGATAAGTGGAGGTGGGCAGGGAGACAAAAGCAAAACCGATAAACTAAATTCAACAGTGCTTCGAATTGAGGGGTTGCTCCGTGCAGTTTGGGGTAAAGAGAATTCTACAATTCGGTCACTAGGGGGAGTCCGTGAAACTAAATTACTTACTTGACAGGATTTGGAAATTATCACATAGATATGTGGACTGTAGGGAATCGCATAAAAACGAATCACGTAAGCATGTAAAATGAGGAGGAAGGAATGCTGAAAAATCTGGATAAAACTGAGAGTTTGAAGGAAATTTCTAGGGCCTGATGCTTGCTTCTTATCCATCATCTATCATTGGTTCTCCTCGCATGCTCTAGGCAAAGTCTGGTTCATATATTTGTTGAACTGAATTAAAATTAAAACCCTTATTTGAAACTCTAATTGTTTCCCCTAAAGCCATTATTTTCACTGGGTCTTCAAAGTGGCACTTCATTAACTTATCTTTATTATACTTTCTAGGACGAAAATGAAGACAGCTTTTCTGATACTGATCTACGGTCTGAGGTGAGCACGTTTATGTTGGCAGGACACAATGCCTCTGCAGCAAGCCTCTCTTGGCTTCTCTACTGCCTGGCTCTGCACCCTGAGCACCAGGAGCGATGCCGGGAAGAGATCAGGAGCACCCTGGGGGATGGGTCTTCCATCAGCTGGTAAGATCTACACCCCTAAACATTTTATGTGTTGTCCTGGGATTTTGCTTTGGTTTTTTGTTCTGGTATGTTAGGGACCACAGTGCCTGAAGATGTATCTCTGTGAAAGCAGAGGAGGCAGGTAATTTTTCTGCTCTTCCTCAAGAGGGCCCCAAATTAGCCCCTTGCATTTTGCAAAGGAGTGCACTGATTCAGAAATTATCTGACATTGTTTTGCTACTTGGTGGTGTGTAAAATGTCTCACTTCTTTCTTTCACCCTAGCTGTAGCACATTAGAAATGAGAGCTTGACCTGAGGCTTGCATGTAGAGACTGAATGGTAGGGCCAAGGCAGGGCTTCTCTTTAGAGAGAGCTAAGCAAGCAACAGCATCATTTAAGGCTCCTGGTGGATACCCTCTCCCATCTCCTTCTCACTCATTTCATTACTCAGATGGACTTTGGACTTTGGATGTGATATTAAATGGTACATACTGCTGTTGAATTTAACACATGTGGGCTGAGGATATTTTAAGTACTGAAACCCTAAAAGATGACTAAGATCAGGACACAGACTTCCGCACAGCAAATTGAAGCATAATGTGTAAGTGCAATGGTAGAGATATGTGCTGGCCACCAGGGAGACTTAGAAAACAGGCACCTACCCTGGCATGAGATGTGGAGATTTTAGGAGACTTTGTAGGGGATCTAACACTCAAACTGCCTCCTATAGGATGAGCCAAGTGGAAAACGTCAACTCTATGTTAAGCATATCTTGCTGTTATTAAGTCCTGGTTAGGGATTTGTCCTTCAGACATGCAGTTTGCAAAGAAAAAGCATGTCCCTGACATAAGCTCACCCTAGCTGATCAAAGAAACAGAAAGATAAAAATGCTAAGGACCACTGAGTTACATGACTGGGAAAAAACACTGTATTTCACTTGACTCAAAGGTCAAGTGAGGGCCAGGGATTTTTTTTTTTTTTTTTTTTTTGGTACTGGGGATCTAACTCTGGTCCTTGTGCTTGCCCAGCAGGCAGCAAAACCACTGAGCCCTGGCCCTGGGATTTAGCTCAGTAGTTTCGCCGCCTGCTGCGCAAGCGCAAGGACCCAAGTTCAATCCCTAGTACCAAAAAAAAAAGTCAAGTGAAACATTTGTAAAACAAAACTTGAAAGTAAAGTTATAATAGACATCACATTTTATAAGGAAATAACATTTTCTACCATAAATTAAAGGCTTAATCTACCTAGCATAGAACACAGTGTTGAGTGATCATTTTTAACAAATAAAAAATGTATATGTATCTATATGTGTGTATGTATGAATATATGCATATGGTGTGTAGCGTGATGTTTTGATATATGTATAATTTGTGGAATAGTTAAATCAATCAAGAACTTATCCATTAACTTACATACTTGTTTCTTTGTGGTGAGTACATTTAAAATCTACCATCTGAATCTACCCCATTCATGTAGTTTTTCCCTTCTTCAAGTGAAACTTCTTTGCTATTAAAAAAAAAATCTGTCATTTTAGCAATTTTCAAGTAAACAAATTGTTATTAACTATAATTTCATATTGCAAAATGGATGTCTTGAATTTTATTGTTCCTGTCTAACTAAAATTTTGTAACCTTTAACTAATATCTCCCCAGTCCTGTGCCCGCTTAATAAACACCATTCCGTCCTCCTGTGAATTCAATTTTTTTAGATGTGCAATTGAAAGCATGTGGAATTTGTCTTTCTGTGAATGTTTTATTTCAACCAGCATAATGTCCTCCAGATTTGTCCATGTTTTTACGAATTACAGGATTCCTTTTTTAAGGCTAAATAATATTCTACTGTGTTTATATACAAATTTTTTATCTATTTATCTGACAATAGACATTTACATCAACTGCTTATCTGCATCACGATGCTGCAGTGATGATGACTGTGCAAATGTTTCTAACATACTAGTTTTTTCCCTTTGGATCTATATCTAGAAGTGAAATTACTAGATCATATGATGATTGCATTTGTGATTTCTTTTTTGAGAATCTCCATCCTGTTTTCCATGTGTATATTAATTTATATTGCCACCAGCAGTGTACAAGTGTTCTATCTTTAAAAGCACTTGTCTTCCTTTCTTTTTTCTTTTCCTTTGTTTCTTTTCCTTTCTTTTTTAATAGCTATTCTAACACAGGAGAGGTGATAGCTCATTGTGTTTTTAATTTTCATTTCTCTGACAATTAATGATATTGAGCATTTTTTCATGTGCCTGCTAGCCATTTGTATGTCTTCTTATGAAAAATGTCTATTCAAGTCCATTGCCCATTTTTAATTGGTTTTTTTAGTTACTATTGAATTATGTGAATTATTATATTTTTATATTATATATTTATATATTATATATAATTATATAAAATTATATTATTCTATTATATTATATATAATTATATTATATATTATTTTATATTATAATTATGTGAATTATTATATTTTTTGGATATTAATCCTTTATCATATATATGACTTGCCAATATTTTCTCCCATTTTGTATGTTTCTGTTCACCATTGACTGTTTCCTTTGTTGTGCATAGTTTTTTAGTTAATTTATCTATTTGTTTAATTTGGATTTGTTACCTGTGCTTCAGAGATTGCATCCAAAACATCTTTGCCAAGACCCACGACAAAAACTACTCTCGTTTATTTGTCTGCTTTAGGTTTACTGTTTTAGATCTTATGTTTAAGTCTTTAATCTATTTTAGTTGATTTTTTTCATATATGAGGTGAGATAAGGGTCAAATTTTATTTTTCTGCACATCAAGTTTTCTCAACACTACTTATTAAAGAGGATGTCCTCTCCCAGTGCGTGTTCTTGACACCTGTGTTGAAAATAAGTTGTCCATGAATTTATGGATGTATTTCTGGGCTCTCTCTCCCTTTCCATTGTTTTATATATCTGTCTTTGAGAAAGTTTTGATTACTGTAGGCTTGTAATAGATTGTCAAATCAGTGCTTCTCACAAAAGCACTTTTGTCCGTGGATGGTTGTGAACTTATTGCTGTGGGGAAATCCAAGTGAGGAACCTCCTATTTTTCCTCCCTTTGAGTAATCTTTTTTTTCATTCATTGAGTTTGTAAACATTGCATATCACTTTTCAACATGAATTAGATATTTTAACTTTGATTAGGCATATACTGACACAACTCAAATACTGACTTTTCTCATTCTTATTTGACCTAACTGTGAAAACAGTAAGTCTCTGCTGGATGAGAAAACAAAGTCCAGATATCTGCTAACTATCATCTATTTTATAGAGAGAAAGGGCAAAAATATGATAAAGAAAAGTATTTTTTTACTCTGTAACATGCATTTACAGCTAAAAATTAATGAAATTTGTACCTAGCATTCTAAAATTTTATAATTCTTCTAGACAAAAGGTAATAAAACCACTTCACATAAAGCAATTTCTGGGAAAGCTGGAAAGTTGTTCAACTTTCTCCATTTAGCTCCTTGTCAGCCGATTTCTCTGTTGGATTAAAACTCCTCCTTTTGCACCATGAGTGAGCTAGGGGAAAAAATTGTTTTCTTAATTATGCAAAATGCCAGGATGAGCAGAAGTAATTTTTTTATCCCAAGCTTGAGAAGGAAAGAATTCAAAGCTAAAACTTCACATTACCAAATGACCAGCACCTGCATTCAAAATAAGTAATCAGAAAATCAAATGCAAATACAATAAAACAAATAGAGTAAGTATATGCAGACATTTTATTGGACCAGACTGACTAGCAAATATGCAAATTTAAAAACAACTTTATTCTTCTGGTGCTGACACTTCAAACTTGCTCTATGGGTCAAGTTTTTTCATCTTGAGGGCAAAATCCTCAGTGGATGTCTCAGAGCTCCCATCTGTTTAGGTCACAGAAATGGCCTCTTGCCACTAAGTAGATTGTCTAGCCCACAGTAATAGTGCTTCAAACACTCATCCACTTCGAGCATCTCTCTCCATCCCAGTTTGGTACTTCTTTGAGCCTGGAAGCCAGCAGAGGGTGAGGGATTTTTTCTTGACTAATTCTTATTGACAAGCTCTTCTCCTACCCAGAGGCTTCCTCTTCTGACCTTTCCAGTAATTAGTCCTCAGGCGAGGGACGGGGGGGGGGGGGGGGACCCAAAGAGAAAAGTGCTGAAACTATTGTGATTGTGTGCCCAAAGGGTTTGAGGGATACACTTGTGGGTTTTCTAGAGACTCCCTCCCTGGAACTTTCCAGTGGTCATGCACAGGGCAAGGGAATTCTAATCTTTGGGCAGAGTCTTCCTCTAGCTGTTTCTGGAGCTGTCTCTCCCTTTGATCTTGTCACAGCTGCTCTCTCCTGCTTCTCTGTCTGTTCTGAGTCACAGCCTTTCCTATCAGTCTTGTGCTCTCCAGACTCCAGGGAACATGTGTCAGATCATCTAGGTGACCTTCACCGACCTCCCCTTTGTTTATTTAAGATGGGTAAAGCACCCTCCTCCATTCTCCATGGCACTCTGCCATCCCTACAATTCTCTTTCTTTAAAGGGTCCAGTTTCTCTTTCAAATTTCTCTTTTCACGCCTTAATCATTCCTTATGCATTCTTGCTTTACATGATGAGCTAAAGGTTGTAAATTGATTTCTCCTCGGCAAACCTTTTACTAGTAGATGAACATTTGACCATGTAGTAAGGCTACGTGGCACCTGTTGAGTTCCTCTAACTCTGGGACCTCAGCTGATCCTGAGGCAGAAAAAGTTACATTTTCACAATCTGTCACATAAACTCATGACAAAATAGCTTTACCCTGAGATGGGTAAAGCTATTTTTCTATTTTCAAATAGAAAATTTTTTTTCTATTTTCAAATAGAAAAAAGTCAATATTTGCAAACTGCCTATGGAGTCTGAGTCCCTTCCCTCCCTCCCTCATCCTCACAGGGACCAGCTAGATGAGATGTCCTACACAACAATGTGTATCAAGGAGATGTTCCGATTGATTCCTCCAGTGCCATCCATTTCCAGAGAGCTCAGCAAGCCTCTCACCTTCCCAGATGGACGCTCATTGCCTGCAGGTGTTTGTCTTTTCGTGAGCAGTTCCTAGACACCATGGGATCCTGGGGATCACAGTAACAATAATGGGTGGGTTTCTGAGCTCCTAGAGAAGTCAAAAGATAACCCAAAGGGTTGGGCATCTATTAAGAAATTATAGGGAAATTCTTTCATCAGATATGAGTTTAGTGAAGTTCTCAAGGCACATGACCAGTTGCAGCAAACCTGAGCCCAGAATCCACATTTCCAGAATCCCAGCCCAAGGTCCACTGTGAGACGTTATTTCTTTTTTATTCTCTTTTTTTGTGTGTGTGGTGGTACTGGGGATTGAACTCAGGACCTTGTGCTAGTGAGGCAGGTACAGCACCACTGAGCTAAAACTCTGGCCCTCATCACACCTAATATAGCCTTTATTAGGCTGTTTGAGAACCTAGTAAGGCTTCATGCGAGATAAGCATCATTATCTTAATCTGAGAGACCTAGGAGGGCCTCATCATCATATTATCACCCTTATGTGCAGCACTGAATAGTTTACATAGAGCCTTCAAATATTATCTCATATTTTTCCTTGGAATGTGCTATTAATGGACACTTATGCAGTGATTTATGATTTACAAAACGCTTTTAAATATTTTTGATGTAACCAAAAGCTCACTGTGGGAACCCCAATGTGTAGATGAGGTTCGGTACCCAGAGAGTACTGGTTTCTGAGCAGGGCATGGAGCAGGCAGCAGGGTCAGATGAGCCGCCTTTCCACTTGTTGGCTTTGGGGTTGCTTGTGGCAAACACCTACAACCTGTTTCTGTAACTTTGGTGATATGTCCAGAAATAATTTACCAGAATGATTTGTGGCAACAAAACAATGTTCAAACTCCCACTCCTTTGTCTTTTTAAATCCCCAAGCCACATAAATATTTGCCAAAATTCCACACTTTCCATGGATTAACAGCACCAAAAGAAATTAGCCACTAGATCTGAAATGATGGAATTACAGTTCTGTTCTTATGTGCCCAAATTGTCTCTAGGGCTTTATAGTCCTTAACCAATATCTAAGTAACGTCCACATGTGGCAGAAAAAGTCAACATAGGTTAGTGCTTTGATATGATACCAACAGGTCCTTAGAATAGAATCATAAATTAAGCAAATCATTGTTTTGAAAACTAAAATACAGGGCCTGGGATTTAGCTCAGTGGTTCTCCCACCTGCCTCGCAAGCAGAAGGTCCCGAGTTCGATCCCCAGTACCAAAAAAAAAGAAAAAAAAACTAAGGTACAGACCACACCCTCATCTTCCCATGTGCCCTTCCCTGGTGGCAACACCAGCAGCACACATCTGCGTAAGAAGTCACCTCTTTCCCTTCAGAGGAAAAGTCTTGTGGGAGAGTTGTATCAACAGTAGCCCACAGTTTGTTCTTTCTCCCTCCCACATTCTTTTCTTAATTAATTAATTTTATGGGTACTTTTTAGATATACATAATGATAACATTCATCATAGGGAATTTATACCTGTACCTAATATACCTTGATTCTTCTTTCTTTTTTTCCCCCCTCATTTCCCTCCCCTCCTTTCAACCCCTCTCCCCCTCCTTTGTTTCCATTTTTTCCCACATTCTTTTTGTATTTCCCTCCTGGCTCAGGAATGAATGTGGTTCTCAGTATTTGGGGTCTTCACCACAACCCTGCTGTCTGGAATAGCCCACAGGTATGAATCTCTTCCTCAGATATACTTCCGAGTGGTGTTATGCAATTCACTTTCTGGCAGCTAAGCATGGAAGTGATGATTCAGTTAAAAGAAAGAAAGCAAAGATAAACATAAAAAACAAAAACTTGTTCTCTAACAGGAGCGTGTCCTCTTCCTCATTCCTGCTTTATCTTTGAATGAATAGATTGACATACTGCCACACATAATGCTCTAAATTAGTTCTCAAGCTCTGCAAAGCACTTCCTTCAATATCTCCAAGACTGTGGACTGTTAGAGTAATTCAGGCAGCTCAGCCTCTCTTTTGCTGGATAGAATAGTTGGATCCTAGAGAGGAATTAATGACACTCAAATAAGGAAATTTGAGTGCTTTGTAAAGGAACTATTTAGGAAGATATAGGCTGTTTAGGAAAAGCAAACTAGAACACGTGTCTACCAGAAGTGTTTCACTATTCTAGACCTGATGGGACCCAGTAGAGAGGGTTACAGGACCTGGAGAGAGAGAACATATGGGAAAAGGGCCATTAGATAGGAGCTGTAGTATAGACACAAGCAGCCTGGGAGGAGCCAGGGACAGACTCTCTCCTCTCACTCTCCAGATCCCCTATCAGTGCCTTTTATTGTCCTAATCCAATGGAAAACCATTCACATTAGCTTCAGAATAGACTGGGAAAGAGAGGAAAGAAGACCTGGAGAGGCACAGAGAAGATGTATAGTTCCTTTACTCAGTGTTCTTGTAACTCAAAACACTCAAATACCAGTGCTTTCTTTTGTATACATCATTTGGGTTTCAACTGTATTACACACAACAGGAAGCTGGACTATATGTCACCACTACAACTAACCACGCAACACTTTAGACTTCACTCCTAAGTGGGTGCAGCCTTTGGCTACTGAGCACGTGAGATGTGGCTAGCCAGAATTGAGATGTGGATTTTGAAGACATAGTACCCCCAAAATGTGAAATTTTTCCTTAATAACTATTTATATTGATTACAGGCTGGAACAGATTTTTCTGTTAAATTCTGTTATGAAAAGTAATTTCATCTTTTTAAAATTGTGGCTACAAGAACACTTGAAATTACATATATGGCTCACATTATATCTTGTTGATCAGTACTAAATAATAAGCTTCAGAAATGTGTTCATGTTGTTCTGGGGTTGGTGGTGGTATTGTCTTCCCATTTCAGGTCTTTGACCCTTTGAGATTCACTAAGGAGAATTCTGATCAAAGACACCCATATGCCTTCTTGACATTCTCAGCAGGACCAAGGTGAGGACAATTTAAAGTTATTAAAAATACACAAAAAATGTTTAATTAGGAATTGTTTAATCCCTTTAGCCCCTCCATTCTATAAGTTCTTCCACGGAAACCCATCTTCTCATGAGGTAGATCATGATGTCTGCCTGCTTGAGGTCCCAAAAGAGTCAGTTAGTTTTGCAATAGACAGTGCCATTCCTTATCACACCCTATATACCCATGCCTCAGAAAGCAATTCCATGTGTAAGTTATTGCCCATCTCAACGCAGACCACTCCAAGTGCAGGAGAAAGATCTCAGGGTAACTACAACAGCTGCCTTGTTTAGAGAGGGCATCATGTTGAAGTCTCCCAGTCCACATTCTTGCAGTAAATGAGGTAAGGCCAAAATTCAAAAGTTTCTATGACATTTAGAGTAAAAAATGTAGCTTACTGTGAACTTCAGAAGTGTTATTCTAGAAACTTATTAGAGAATCAAAAAATCAGTCTTTAAAGCATCATTTTCTCCCCTTCCGCATCTGCAGGAACTGCATTGGACAGCAGTTTGCCATGCTTGAGTTGAAAGTGGCCATTGCCTTGATTCTGCTCCGCTTCAGAGTGGCTCCAGACCTCACCAGGCCTCTCGCCTTCTCAAATCACCTTGTCCTCAAGCCCAAGGATGGAATGCATTTGCACCTGAAGAAGCTCTCCATGTGTTAAAGCCAGGTACAATGACTATATTTTGTTTTTTAAGTTCAATTTGAAGCTAATGGTCTGAGCAAGTGAAGAAGAATCAGAGTGTCATGGGAGAGTTGGAGGTAGGTGGGTTGGCAGTGGGCGTTAATCTGTAGAGCTACACATTATCAAAAACATTCCCAGGTAGCAAGACTGACACCTAGATCTGTTTCTATCTGGCTTTGGGAGATTTTTTCAGATTTTTTTGTTTGACCCTGAATACTATCAATGTGGTATACCAAGCACTTTTCTAGGTGTCTTCAGTACATTTTCTGTTGTTCTTTTAAAATTATTTTCAGAATTACACACAAAATAGGTAAATGAATGTAGGCTCACCATTTTAAGAACTTTCAGCACTAAAAAAAGCATGTCAAATAAAATTTAAAATGCAAGGCCAGAGCTTTAGCTCAGTGTTTCCGCCGCCTGCCTTGCAAGCACAAGGTCTCAAATTTGATCCACGGTACCAAAGGAAAAAAAAGCTCCTAAAATTTAAAATTCCACTTCTGCTGGCCCATTCCTCATGACCTGACCAATCCTACTACCTTCTGTTAAGATGGAATAATTTGATTTGCTTTCTTTGAGATTTTTTTCCCGTACGTTTTACATCTACATATAAATGTGTGTATATTTTAGGATCATATCTATATTGTCCTTGCTGTTTTCACTTCCTAAAAATCCATCTCATTCCCTTTGGTGCATTTATAGTTTTCTGTAAAATGGATGTCCTGTAATTGTTAACCATTGTATAGGTTATTTAAGTTATTTGTAATTTTTAAATGTGCTTATTGGTCATTTATGTTTATCTTTGATTTGTTCTTTGTGATTTGTCTGTATACTATTTTGTTTTCCATGATATTGTCTTTTTCTTATTCAAATATGTTTTATATATCGAAGGATGTATGAAGCAAGACTATATATGTATATCTACATATGTATAAAGCAAGAACAAAATGTATCAAAGGATGTATAAAGCAAGAATAGTAATTGCCATGAGGAACTTTTTAATTTTCATGAAGATTTATGCACACTTTTCCTATAGTTACAGGGTTTTGAGTCTTGGATAAGAACATCTCCATTTGTAATATTACAAAAATATTATATTTTTTTCTGGTGCTAACCGCTCTTGTAGTGCCTGAGTGGGAATTTCTTAATAATTTCCAGATTCATTACTCATTGGAGCCTAATCAGAAATTTAGACTTATTTTTAAGTACAGGAGAAGCCCTTTGAAGATTTTCCCCCAGAGGTGGAACTTGGGATGAATTGCATTTTAAGAAAGTTTTGCATCTGTGATATGGAGAATTAATAGATTAGAGAGGGCTTGAGTGAAAGCAGGAAGAAAAGGGCACTAGGAATCTATTGCAATCATGCAGGTAAAAGATGATGGTGCTTGCCAAGGGTAGTGGCAATTAGAATTGAAGGAGAATGAATGTGAAGAAGATTTTGATGGCCTTTGGTAAAACATATAGAACTTGTTAATTGATTGGAAGTAGAGTGTGAGTGAAGGGGGAAAATTCAAGATTTGTGAGAGCAACCAGGGCTATCCAACCAATCACAGGAACACCTTGTATAATACTTTCACCAAGTATTCATCAGTCCTTTGCCTTGCTGCACATCTTGATTATTGGGAAGTTCTGTGGTGGAAGCTGGTTAGGCACCTGAGAGCTCTACTTAGGATCAAGGCTTAGAGTGAGGAGGGAGGTGGCTGCAGGACTAAAAATTTCCTTAACCAGATAAGATATCCAACGTTCATTCTTGGTTTAATGAAACCTGCATGTTGCCAAAGGATATGAGGGGTTAGAAACCATTTAACCCTCAAGGGCAGTGGTAACAAATGTCTCCTATAGAAACCCCTGTCAGATTCACAGAACTCTGATACAGCTCCTACTTTCCTTTTGTCTCCTCTGTCCATATGCACAATTATGGAAGACCACCATCTACTTAGGAAAGCTTCTCCCACTCCACTGATTCAATTGGTAATCTATGGCCAGTGTTTGAGTGTCCAGTAGGGCTAAAGAAGAGGTTAGGTAATTACAGTGGCTATGGTCATGAAGGGTTAAAGCATTCTGGAACTCATAGAAATAATCATATTTATGGTGGGCTTGGATTGTTCCTTTACAAATTAATCTACATGGCCTGCTGGAAATGTGGATGATTCTTGATTACTGAACCAAAAATGTTTTAGTGCTTCATGGTAAGCACTACCCCAGATACTATTTCTATTTTAAAAGACCCACCCCTGTCCAAGTTTAAATGACAGGCTGTTGGTGGCAGAGGTGAATCATCCCTCTCACATCTTTTGCCCGCTCCTACAGAAATAGAAGACTTACCTGAGCACATGATTGGCAGCTACAGACCATATTACCTCATCTCCCTTTCAATGAGATGCACCATGGGACTAGGTTTGGGGCAGAGCTCTGAGCAGAAGTGACAAGTACAATTTCCATCTAATATTTGCAAAAGGAAAGATATATATCCTCCCTTTCCCTTTTATCCTTACCTTCTTGGAGACAGATGTGGTGGCAAGAGCTAGAGCTGCTAATTTAGATCATTAACCAAAAGCTATGTTGAAGATGATAGGACAAGGAGATAGAAGGAGCCAGACACCTGGATGAACTTGTAGACAAAACCACCCTACTAACTCTGAATCACTCACTTCCTCAAGACTTTTATGTGAGTGGGAAATACATTATTATTTTATTTAAGCTCTTCTATTGGACGCTCTTTGTGATAGTAGACTATTATTGACATGACCAGTGCTATTTTAAAATTTCACATATATCCAGACAATGACTAGGGTTTTCTTTTCATTTCCTATCTTTCCACATAACCAAGATCATTTGTCATGGATACAAGACTTTTGCTGTTTGTTTCAAGGCTATTTAAAATTTCAAATTACTTGTCATGATTTTGCTATTAAATTAACATGAGAAAAGAAAAGGGTGGCTTCTATTACCAAATATCCAGGCCCAAGCCAGGAATGGAGCAGCTGAATAAGCATCTTAAAGGAACCACATAATCCTGGACAAAATACTGTGACTCTTCTTGACCCTTCAACTTTGGAGGTGGCACACAAACAAAAACTGATGCCCAGTACATACTAATCCTTATGGTTTTTTTATAAGGAATAATATGCCCAACCAAGTTGAAAGTTATATCAAATGTCATCTCTTATTTTTTACCTTTTCTGAGTCATAGAACTTTTTACAAATCTGAAGAAAAACATGGATCTTCTCCCCAGAAACTTGTACATACTCCAAATATGAATGGAGTTTATGACTTCATAGCATTACTTGCCCATGAGCCCATGCCTAGACCTCCTTGAGAGTCCTTCCTCTGCCTTAATAATGTTAAGAGCCTTGGGAAATGGCCATAACTGATACTGGAAGCCATTTGTTCAGGGGGCAAGACATTCCACCCTCAGGTAGCTATCAATCGCAAGTGTTTCATAATACTGAGCCAAAATTCTCCTCTTTATACCTTTTGTCCATCAATACAACTCAAAATTTCTCTTTCAATTTATAATTTTAAGAGGTTTTTGTCATCATAATGTAATTGGACACAATACAAAATGTGAATACCCACCTTTCATGCACACACCCTGAGTGGAGAAGTACAGTGTCCTAAAATGTCAAATAAGGACACTGACTTTTTCCTTACTTCTTTCCCCCACTCTCATCTATTGATCTACAAGTTACTGGGCTGGCCATCTGGCATTGCTCAAAAGTCTTCCATTATGAACACTGTTCTTCAATGCATATCCTATGCCAGAACAGGCTTACTATACTACCCATGCTTTATTCTCTTTTTCACTTGACACCTGTAACAATTATTTGCCAGATGCAGGGCTCTACCAACTTAACTAAATGTAATTCTATATGGTCTCTAACTGTGGCTGCATGCTGACCCTATGTATACCCTATATAGCCATGCCTAACAGAGATCCTGCTACACAGTAGGTCCACTGCACGTATTTGTATAATGTATAGATGGATGGATGGATGAATAAACAAATGAACCATGACCACAAGTTAACCTTTACCCCTAGTTGTTAACATGGATTTTTTAGCAAAGAACAATTCTTCATGTTCTGAGAAAACAGGCCTTCTAGCTCTGGTTCACAGACCTGTGATACCTGTCTCAGCCAATGAGAGCACATATGATTTGGCATAGCTTATCCCTCTGCAGGGGATAATTCAGTATGTACTTATTCTTTACTCATCAGTATTTATTGATCACTTCCTGTATGCTGGACATTGCCCTTGGCACTGGGAACACAGCAATAAATAGACAAAGACTTTGATCTCTTGGAGCTTATATGATGGAGAAGACACAAACAATATAAAAAGTAAATGAATAAACTGGATATGGTGGTATGCATCTTTAGTCCCAGCCACCTGGAGGGCTGAGCTAAGAGGATGACTTGAGTCCAAGAGTTCAAGGCCAGCCTGGACTACAGAACAAGACTGTGTCTCAAAAAAAGAGTAAGTCAATAAATCAATATATTTGTTAAGTTTATGCTAGCTACTGTAACCAATAAACACCACACATTACTATAGCTTAATATAACATAGTAAAAGACATCTATTTGCACTCATATAAGTAGCTCAATACAAGCATTTCTTGTGGGCCAGCAGATTCCTGCTTGGAGATTTCAGAACTCAGTTTCCTTTCATCTTGTGGTGTGCTATCCTGTAGGATTTGAGAGTTGTCTGTATCCATCCAGCAGACAATGAAGAGGATGTAGAGAAAGCACAAATGCTTCTTAATTTCCATGCCTCAGACATAATACCCACTGTGTCTGAACATGTTGTGCTGCTGGGAATTAGTTGGGAGGATGAAAGTACAAACAGAAGTCCAGTTCCTGGCAGGACAGCAACAACTCTACAGTGTTGAAGAGAAAGCACAAAAACTGCTCCTCTGTTTCAGTCCATTCCTTGGGCCACCAAATACTGGTTTTATTTTCTTCTCAAATATGAACACATTTACCCTGTCCTCAAGGATGACAAAATTCCTATCTAGCTAGATAGCCCAAATCCCAGACTATTTAGAGCATACATTTCTCTTCATAATGCCTTTATGTGAATCTTTGTGTTCCATGGATCTATAAGCTAAAGGCAAGATATCCATTATGGCTTGTCTTTAGATGTCCCCCAAAGCCTCATGCAAATGAGATGGGGCTATTTTGGAGGTAGCAGAATTTAAAGTGCATGATTGATTTATGGTGGGGCTAGGCCCGAGAGTACTAAGATTAAGGATGAGTGCTACCCATCCTAAGCAGTCTGAATAGGATAAAAGGGGCATAAATATACTCTCAAGCTCTCTTGTTGCTTTTGCTCTCTTCCATCACCATGACTGTTGCCCTTCTGCCACCCTGCCTTGGAGCAAGCCAATTATGGACTGAAACCTCCTCCAACTGTAAGCCAAATAAACCTCTTCTCCTTTAACTTTGGTTGTCAGGCATTTTGTCTCAATAATGAGAGAAAAGTCACTAACACAGAAATTTGGTACCAGGAGTGGGGTCATTGCTGTGACATTACCTGGACATTACCTGTGGCTTAAGAGCCTTTGGAACTGGTTTGTGGGATGGGGAAGAGTTAGAAAAGATTTGGAGATGTTGGCAGCAGAAGTAGAGAACACCTTAGGCTGTTCTGTATGGGAGAGTCTGGTCAGAGCTCAGAAGACCAGAAAGCCAGTAAAGACCCAGCTCAGAAGGTTTTTGCTGGGAAGGACTGCACTGGCTGTTGGACTCCAAATGATGTGTGTTATGGTTGGCAGAAAGTTTGTCTGCATTTTTCTCATGTCCAGAGATTTTGCCTGAGACTGAGATTAGGGGGAGTGGACTAATTTTGCAGAAGAGATTTCAAGGCAGTCAAATATTGAGGCAGTGGTATGGCTATTGCTGGGAGCTTTTAGCCAGATCTATGTTGAGAATCAAGAGCAAGAAGCCTAGAAGAATGATTTAAAATGTTTTGAGTTTGGCCAGAAAGGAAGCTCCAGTAAAGTTTTGGCCTGCAAAGATGAAGCAGAGGAGACCTTTATTGCTGAGAAGGAACAGAAGAGTAGAAAAGACAGCCTTAGGGTGTCACAAGAAGCAGCAGGATTCCACCCTTTGCAGCCTCAAAATTGCAAAAGTGAAAGACTTTGCTTTGAGAAAAGCCCCAGAGCAGCATGTTTCAGAATGGTGGTGACCTAGAGAATTTGTTCCTTGGAATTGGATTCAGAGTACTCAGCAATCCAGGCACTCGACCACTACATCCAAGAGAAAGGGAAGACCTGGCTACTACTACTCCAACTGACAGTAGACCTTGGCATCATCCACGTGGTTCGGGTTTTAGGCACATGCAAAATGCAAGAGTTGTGGGGTCAGGAAGGCTTCCACTCAGCTTTCAGAAGAAGTCCTGGGTGGCCAGGCAGTGTGTCCCGAGAGGGCAGTGTGTGAAGGTGTGAGTGTGAAGCTGAAGGTGCAGTGGAGACCCCAGAAGTTTGGAGAAGCCAGGACCATGGCTTGTCTGAGGAAAACTGCAAGGAGGGAGCAGACACAGCCCAAGAGAGAAGTTATGGGAGCTACAACCAGAAGTATCATAGAGACAGAGACACCCAAGCCCTTTGGAGTTCACAACTTGCCACAGATTGCCTGGGATGCTGGAAGTGGATTTAATGTTTTCCCTGATGGATTTTGGACTTGCTTTGGTCCTATTCCTTTGTATCCCCCTGCTTGTAACTTTTGGAATGGAAATGTCTATCTTGTGCCATTGAATGTTGCAAGTGCTTAACTTTCTTTTCATTTATACATTGGATCACAGCTAAGAATTTACCTTAAATCTCAGAGAAGACTTTGGACTTGGAATTTTCAGCAATGCTAAAACTGATAGGACTTTAACAACATTTAGAGATGGACTAAATGCTTTTGCAAGAAGAGATGTGCATGAATCTTTAGGGGGCCAGGGGTGGAATGTTATGACTTGTCTTTAGATGTCCCTCCCACAAAGCCTTATGCAAATGAGGTGGGGCTCTTTTGGAGGTAGCTAAATCTAGAGTGCATAATTGAGCCATGGTGGGGCTAGGCCCAAGGGCACAAGGATTAAGGGCATGAGTGCTACCTGCCCTAAGTAGTCTGAATAGGATAAAAAAGGGCAGAAAGATGCTTTTAAGCTTTCTTGTTGCTTTTGCACTGTTACCTTTCTGCCACCCTTCCTTGGAGCCAGCCAATTATAGACTGAAACCTTTATGAACTATAAGCCAAATAAACCTCTTCCCCTTTAACTTTGGGTGTCAGGTATTTTGTCCCAGCAATGAGAGAAAAGTAACTAATGCAGTTTCTTTACCTCTTGTCCAGTGTACATGATGCAGCAGAGACAGGGAGACTGCCATGAACACTCCCACTCCTTTGCCATAAGTCTGTATTTCCCAGATGCTCTTGTTAATAGATGTGACTGTATGACTAAGTTTGGGCCAATAGATGTAAATAAACTTGATGTGTACAACCAACCTTGGATTTCTTTTCCTTTTCTGTCTTAGTCTGTTTACTGCTCCTGTAACTGAATATTAGAGAATGAGTAATTTGTAAAGAAAAGAAACTTATTTATTTATTATAGTTCTGGATGCTGGAAAGTCCAAGATCTAGAGGTTGCATCTGATGAGGATCTTCTTGGTGGTAGAGACTCTTCAGAGTCCCGTGGAAGTGCAGAACAGAACATGGCAAGGTAAAGCAAGCATGCTAACTTAGTCTCTGTTCCTCTTCTTATAAAGCCACTAATTGTGTCATGGGGATCCGTCTCTCACAACCTCATCTAATCCTAATTACCTACAAAGGCCCCACCTCCAAATACATGAATATGATTTGGGGGTTTAAGTTTGCAGCACATGTATTCTGGAGGACACCCCAAACCACACCACCTTCCTACTACCTGGAAAGCAGACATAGCAGGACCTCAGCTTTAACATGGAGATAAGAACATTTTAGGGGTAGAAAGGAATGGAAGGTGTCTTAGCTACTTTCTCATTGCTGACACACAAAACCCAACACCCAAACTTAAAGGAGGAGAGGTTAAATGTGGCTCAGTTTGTTGAGGTTTCAGCTATAGTTGACTGGCTCCAGGGCAGGACACCATGGCAGAGGGGCATGGCAGAGAAGAAAAAGCTCATAGCATGGTGACAGGAAGAAGAAATAAGGATTTAAAGTAGGAAGGAGGGGGATAGACCTTTCCAGGCCACATTCCCTGTGACCCACCTCCTCCAACCAACCTTCACCTCCCAAATCACAATTAGCTATAAACTCATCAGTGCACTAATCCACAGATAAGTGTAAGGTCAGACCGAGGCATGATTGAGACCGCTAAAGCAGGCAAATTATAAGCAACATGAGATGATATTGCCATCTGGGTGCAGATGAGCCCAGGGCAAGAAGGCCGTTGGCACTGAGAGGAGGGTGCTCATGGTCGATATGGGGCATTTTGGTTAGGGGAGGGGGCACTGGTCAAAAGGGTGGAAAATTTTAGAGTCCCATGGGTGATGAGTCTGAGGCTGGCTAATAAACAGGGTGGTGGTGAGTGCAGCAGGTTGGCTGCTGGCTTCTTCTTATCTCTGTGCTCCTGTGGATGTAGGTAGTGCTCTGCTTGGGTGGGGGTCCAATACTTGTCATCAAGTATCACACCTCAATGATCCAATCACCTCCAAAAAGCCCCACCTATGAGCACATGAGACTTTAGAGGGATATCTAGATATAAACCATAACACTCCACCACTGGGCCCCAAAATATTCATGCCCATCTGTCTTAATTACTTTCTCATTGCTGGAACAAAGTACCTGACACCCATAAGTTAAAAAGAGGAAAGATTTATTTTGACTCTCAGTTTGTAGAGGTTTCAGTCCATCCTCGGCTGGCTCCAAGGCAAGACGGCATGGCAGAGAAGCATGGCAGAGGAGAAACAGCTCATAGCAAGGCAGGCAGGAAGCAGAGAGGAATCAAGGGAGAAGGGATATATATGGTTCCTGGCCATGGTCAACCACCTCTTCCCTCCTGGCTTCACCTCCCAACATTACACCAAGCTATAAACCCATCAGTGGACTAATGCAATATGAATATCACACACATGATCCAGTCACCTTCCAAAAGCTCCACCTATGTACACATGAGGGTTTGGGAGCCCTCTAGACATAAATCATAACACTATCTCTTTATAAAAAAAGTGCATTTAGTCCATCTCTAAGAGTTGCCTAAGTCCTAGTAGTTTTGGCATGCTGAAAAGTGCAAGTTCAGAGTTTAGTTTGAGAGTTAAAGCAAACTAGGCTAAGAGGCCCTGTAAATATCAAAAGAAAATTGAACACTACTGACATACATAGACACAGGGTAAACATTCCCATTCCAGCCAAGTGTGGTGGCGCATGCCTGAAATCCCAGCACTTGAGAGGCTGAGGCAGAAGGATTGTTGTGAGTTTGAGGCCAGCCTCAACAACATAGTTCAAGGCCAACCTGAACTACATAACATGACCCTATCTTATAAAACCAAAAGGGGGCAGGGAAGAAATGGGACCAAAGCAAGACAAAAATCCAGCAGCAAAAACATTAAATCCCATAGTTCTGTGTCCAACACCCAGGTCAATCTATGGCAAGATATGAACTCCAAAGTGCTTGGGTGGCCCCACCACTGTGGCACTGCCAGTGGTTATAGCTCTCATGACCTCTTGCTTGGGCTGGCTTTGCTCACTCCTTGCAGCTTTCCTCAGATGATCCACTTTCCTGACTTCTCTAACTCTCTGGGTATTCCATTGCACTTTTGCCTTCACACTCACAGCTTCACACACTGCTCTCAGGGGCACACTCACTGACCTCCCAGGCCTTCTTCTGAAAGCTGGGTGGAAGCCTTTCTGACCCCACAACTCTTGCATCCTCCATTTCTTCATGTGTCTAAAGCCAGCACCAAGTGGATAATACCAAGGCCTGCCACCAGCTGAAGCAGCACCCAAGCCCTTTTGCATCTGCTAGTGACTGAACAGACCCGAGTGCCCGGATAGCCAATACAATGAACTGAATCTTGCGGAATCAATTTCCATTCCCTAGGCTGCCAATATTCTGTAGCATGATGTCCTCAGGCTCTCCTTGAAGCATTTTTCCTATTGTTCTGTTCCAAAGTACTTGGCTTCTTTTTAGTTCTAATCTTTTCAGCAACCAAGCTCTCCTCTGTTCTATCTTTGCAGGCCTCAAATTTACTGAGCTTCCTTTCTGGCCAAATCAAAGCTTTTTATCTATATTTACTTATTTTTACTTATTTTGTTTATTTTTCCAGCATAAGATTCATTTAGTTATCTTATAAGTCCTTATAAAGTTAATTATCATATAGCTTAACAACTATACCAATAGACAAAAAAACATATAAAACAATTATATCAAATCAAGGTACACTTTTAGATACATTGTCCATGCTGGATTACAAAACTTTTTTCTCTCCCTTTTTTCCTATTATTTATCTGTTATTTTGCACTTTATTTAAATATTGAGTTTCTCAATAAGAGAAACCATGAGATATTTAAGTTTGTATGTGTGATTTACTTCACTTAATATTATGGTCTCAAGGTGCATCCATTTTCCTCCAAATGACTCAAATGTATCCTTTTTATGGCAGAGTAGTACTCTATTGTGTATAAATACCACATTTTCTTTATGAAATCATCTGTTGGACATATAGGCTGCCTCCTAGATTGAAACTCAAAACTTTTGAAATCATTCCACTAGGCCATTTGCTCTTGATTTGATACAGGGGGAAGAGATGTAACTCCCAAACATGCAAAGTGAAGTTCATGTTCTCTAAAATCGAAGAATAAATCGAGGAATGAAGAGTAGGAAAAATTTATTGAGAGAAAGATAGCTTCTATCTAAGAGAGGCAGAGGGGTACCAGAAAGGAGGTTGCCTGCTCACCCAACTTCTTTATGGGATAAAGCCATGAGGTGAGGCAGGTTCAAAGTGGGACAAAACTATAGTCAACTAGTAAGATTGCAAGTGCAGTTGCTTAGGTAATACTGATTCAATGAGAAATCACAAGGTGGGCAAAACTATGAACAACCAATAAGATTGTGACAAGTATCATCTCTTAGGTAATGTTGATTAAATGGGGATCCAATGAGGAAACAGGTCACATAGTGGGTGTAAAAGTTATGAGTTAGGATTTTCAGTGGTAAGGGGTGGGTCAGGGATCTTTCTTGGAAGATCTTGGTCCCCCACCCATGTGATAGATACCTATTTAGAATACCAATCACTACTATTCACACTATGTGGGTGTGGTAGTTTCTCTTCTTTTACAATACTGGCCTTCAGTGAATGTGTCTTGATTATCCTTGATTCTCCCCCATGTTGGCTCCTTTTGGGCCTGCCCTGTCTAATTGCCTACAAGACATCTAATTAACTTACCTATCTACAATAGATTCACAATGTAGAAATGGCTAAAAGCCCCTAGTACCCAAGCCCACAGCCTAAGTGTTTGGCTGCCTTGAAATTTCTTCCTTGTAGTCTACCACCCTTAATCTCAGTCTCCTGCAAAGGCATGGACAAATTTTCTGCCACTGCATATCACATATGGACTAGAATCCAACTGGCAATGGAGTCCTTACTCCCAACTGAAACTGTGATAGTCAACCTGATTCCATTTGTGTAAAGTCAAGTGATTTGGGGTGGTCACCTCCCCTTTCCCCCTTGGGAGTCCCCTCCATTAGTGCATGACAGAACACCAAATCCTGTAGTCTGCAACTATATGTTATCTTTCTGCAACTATATGTTTTCTTTACACCTTCCCATTTGGTGAGCAATCTGGAACTATAAGCTATCTTTACAAACTTGTAAACAGGATACTACACACCTAAGTGATATTTTGTTTCAACTAAACTGTGTGAAACTTCCCCTGACCCTTACTAATTTAGCAAAGTTCTGCTCCTGTGAAATTCTGCTTGCCGTTCCCCCTCTCCCTGAGCCCTCCCCAATTAGAAGAACTGCTTAAAAGAAGCCAACAAGCCACTTATCCTGGAGTTTTTCCAGTGTAAGCTGCTCTCAAACACCAGCTGAAAATAAAGGACTTGTATTTGGCTCAGGGTGCTGGCAATTCTCTATAATCTCTTGCAATTAAGGATAACAAAACCTCCTGAGACTGGTCTTTTCCAACTGCATTACTGTCAACATTCTGGTCTTCTGAACTGATCCCAATCTCCCATCAAGCTTGACTTTCAGCCTTCTAAGATGCTTCTCCAGCCAGGATTTCTGAATCTCTCCAAACTCTTCTCACAAGCCAGTTACAAAAGCTTCTGAACCACATGGTCAGGTCATGTCATAGCAACAACCCCACTTCTCTAGAACAAAGCTGCTCCACCAACCTGGACAGACAATTATGTGAAAAAAAAAATCATATCTTTTTAAGTCCTGTATTTGGGTCTCTGTCACCAGTTAGTCTTCACCCAAACTAATATGCTTTTTCAATGCTAAAATAGAAAGAAAGACAG